CAGTTTCACAGACATCTTTGGGCAAATCTGTTAAGCAAAAGGCACAGTTCCAGTGCCCCGTGGTTCCGCGCAGCTGATGCCTACAGCTGGAGGAACATCTGCCCACACCCCGAGCTGATGAGCTGGAAAGGGTGGACTGCCCCTGACACCCCTTGCTTGTGCAGAGAACAGCAGCAGCCGCCCGGAGCGCCGTAGCCCGGCACCTGGGAGCCCTGGGAAAGCCAGCGTGGGCGTCAGCGGCCCGGTGACTCTGGCTTCCTCACGAGACCTCAGCCGAATCTGACTTCTTTGAGGTTTCTCTTCTTTAAAATGGGGCTGGCCGGGCGCGGTGGCTCAAGCCTGTAATCCCAGCACTTTGGGAGGCCGAGACGGGCGGATCACGAGGTCAGGAGATCGAGACCATCCTGGCTAACACGGTGAAACCCTGTCTCTACTAAAAATACAAAAAACTAGCCGGGCGTGGTGGCGGGCGCCTGTGGTCCCAGGTACTCGGGAGGCTGAGGCAGGAGAATGGCATAAACCTGGGAGGCGGAGCTTGCAGTGAGCTGAGATCCGGCCACTGCACTCCAGCCTGGGCGATAGAGCGAGACTCCGTCTCCAAAAAAAAAAAAAAAAAAAAGGAAAAAAAAAATGGGGCTGGGACTCTGCCCTCCCAGGAGGGTTTTCAGGTTGAGTGGGAGCCCAACTTGGAAAAGCACTTTGCAAACCACAGTACAGGGGCTCCTGGAGTCCCAGCACCCCGAAGACGGGGCACCTGTGCTGAAGCACCAGATTCTGATATTCTCCTGCCTGGGCCTTGGGCTCCTCCAGAGTCCCCCAGGGTTTACATATGAGAGGTGGGTCCAGTAAGGGTTAGCCTGAGCCAGGGCAGGGAGTGTGTTGGCAGATGAGGCCTGAGGCTGGTCTGGAGCACTTGGAGCCTTCCTGAGCTCGATTCTCCTCTGTCTTACCCTCACACTCATCTCTGCACATGCCTTTAGCTGCAGCTGCTTTCGTCTCTGTCTAGAATCCGGATGCAGGGTGGGGTGGGAGTCAGTGTGTGCCACCTGCTGTGGCCCAGCACCCTCTTTGCAGGTCCCTGGCTGCTCCACCTGCCCCACCTGCCCATTTCTGACCTCGTTGTGCCCCACCTGCTCATTTCTGGCCTTGTTGGCACATCCTTGGGCCTCAGTGAGTCAGAGACTCGATCGGAATTCGTGGCATTGGCGTGGGTGGGTGGCCCTGGGGAGGTAGAACAACTTGCTAGATTGAATCCTGCCAGGGAGGTGGGGGCGGGAGGTGGGAGGAGCTGCAGATGGAGAGAAGCAGAAATGCTGCCTGGTGTCCAGACCTTCCTGAGAGGAACGAGAGGCTTCTTCGTGTATCTAAAGGGAACATGGCCCAGACACCAGCACCCCTGCACCCTGTTGACTGGGAGCCAGGGTTCAGTTTCCCCATCTGTGGTTTTCACCTCAGGGGCTGGTGGTGAGAAAACTGAGCGTGCCCCCGCCTTGTGCCGTCAGCAGCTCCTGGAGTGTGTTTCCCGGGTCAGGCCTCCTGGAAGAGTCTCTAGGATCGAGCTGTCTCACCGTGAGCCGCTCGCTGGTGGACTGGGCTGGGCGCTGGTGAGGACCAGGTGGGACCAGGGCAATTGGATCCTATGACAATCGGGATGAGGCTCACGCACTGGAACCCAGACCTTGCCCTTGCCAGAGGCTCACTCAGCTGGCTTTAACCACACTTGGGGAGGGCACAGAGAGTTGAGAAGCTCACTCCATTCTACCCCATCTTAACCTCACCAAGCCCAGGGCCTCCACGAAAGGATCTCCAAAGACCATTGTCTTTCCTTTAGTCATTCAACAAACATTTATTGTGTGTCTATTTGGTGCAGGACCCAAACCACCTGCCCACACGGAGCAGACGTTCTAGTGCAGAGGGAAGGGTGGCAGGAAGTAAATACACTAAAGGGGAAGATAAGGGGAGGCGGGGACAGGCAAGAGCGTAAGACACGGTGTCGTGTACGAGGCCCGTCTGCTGGCTGGGGGGCTGCTACTTCTGAGTGCAGGGACTCAGGTGTCTTTGTCAAGCGGGGGGACGTTTGGGTTGAGACTCGAACAGCAAGAAGTCATCAGGGGAAAGCATTCCCAGCAGAGCAGAAGCCAGGCCCAAGATTGGCCCCCTTTCCCTGCCCCGCTTTCTCGTAAAGAATCAAGGAGGACTTCAGGAGCCAGGAGGCACTGCCTGGCAGCGAGTGCTTGGGAGGCATTGCCTGGCAGCGAGCAAGTGCCTGATGCCTTCCTGAGTCAGAACTCTTCAGAGCTGACTTGAGAAGCTCGGCCTGGAAGCAGCCGTGCACTCTCGGCCTCCTGCCGTGCTCTGCCGTCCTGTCCTGCGCTCTGAATATTCTCTGGATACTCTCCCAGCCATTTCCCACTGAACAGTGAGAGGGGAGACCCGTGCATCTTGGTAGGCGGGTCTGGCCCACAGAAGGGTGTGTTCCTTCGCTGAGTGCCAGGGTCTACACAGTGCCAGGGTGTGCCTGCCGGGTGCTGGGGCAAGGATACAACATTGCACTCACTGGGCAGCCCACCAGGAGACAGGCATTACCACCCCACTCCCCAGACCGCGAGTCCCGGAGCATCTGACATTCCAGGGTCAGGAGCCCCATCCAGGGGAGGTGACAGTGGCTGAAATCTTGGGGATGGGCTGAGCCCCTAGGGGAGGAGTTCCGGCCACGGGGAACGCAGAAGCTGCGTCTGACCGTGGGAGTGGGTGTGGCAGACATGGAATAAAGGACCTGAGGGACTGAGGCCAGGAGCTGGGGGCGGGACCGGTGGAGTTGGCAGAGGACAGCATGTCCTGAGAAGAGTGCCAGCCTCCAAGGACTTCCAGCAGGACAGTGGCACCATGAGGCATGTATGGTGACATGATCTCTCTGTGTGGAGGGTGCATTGAAGCAGGTGGGATGGGAGGGGGCAGCTGGGCCTGGGGGTGTCGGAGGGCTGGATGGCAGCTGGAGGAGGGTGGAGTCTGGACTCTCCGGGTCTTTGGGAGGAGGAGGCAGAGCCCCGGCCCAGAGCCTGCAGGGTGGCCTGAGGGCATCCTCCTTGGGCAGGTGGGAGCTGAAGCCAGGTGTGACAGGCTGGCCTGGAGGGTGAGGCCAGAGGAGGAGTTGCCAGGGAGGCCCCAAGGCCACCAGGGGCATCATCCAAGCCCAGACCTGAGCGTGCTTCTTGAAGGGAGTGGCCAGTGTTGACCCCAGGGCTGCAGAGGCATGGGGTGAGACTGGTCCCTGGCCCAGGAGGAGCTGCTGGGGGTGGAGGCGCTCCGGGCCTGGGCGCCAGATTGGAGTGGGCCGTGGAGCTGGTGGGAGGGGAGAAACGGGGACAGCGGGTACCGCCAATTCTCCTGAGTTTTTTAATCTTTCTCTTTTATTTAGCACGATCAGTGAAAGGCGTGTTCTGGAACACCAGCCTTAGTCCTCAGACGTGTTAATATGAGACCAGCTTGTAATGGGAGAGCAAACACTGCCCATGGCCTGGATGCGGGCAGCAAAGTCCATTTCCACGCGGCGTCCACCTCAGGGAAACTTCCAAGCCCAGTTGCTCCCTGTGCGGTTGGCGCCGAAAGCCGGGGTGCCCTGTGTTCTCAGGGGTGTCGGCAGTGCTGCAGGCACACCTGGGACCTGCTCTTGAAGTCACCCCACAAGGAGCAAGGCAGCCCACAGATGTCCAAAGCACAGCTCGGAACAGAGCCAGCAGGCTGGACTCCATGCACACTGTTTGATCTGCAAAAAGTGGAGAAGGAGCAGGCGCGGAGCGGGTAGAGAGGGAGGGGGATGTTTTCTCTTTTATGGCAGAAACCTGAAAGTGTTTAGAAGCCAGTGGGAAGGGTCCTGTTGAGAGGGAGGTGTTGGCTGGCAGGGGAGGGGGAGCGAAGGTGCGAGTTCCTGGAGAAGACAGCACACCAGCTTTGTGCACAGACCACGACAGGCCCTCCTGCTGCCGGGCGCCCACGCTGTCGCCCACGGCCCTCCTGCAGGCGCCTTGGAGTGGGTCCCTGGCAGTGGGCAGGGCTGGCCCGCCCTTGCAGAGTGAAGGACAGCCTGGGTCTGGGAGCTGCGTGTGAGGGTTGGAGATGTCTCCGGGGCCTGTGATCCGCGCCGGGTTGGGTTGGGCTGGGCTGTAGTTGAAGGGCTTTGGGGGACACTATAGTCCTCACAGGCTCAAACCAACGTCCACCATGCAGGGTGATGGCCCTCCCTCTGGAGCTGCTCAGACATTCACGTGTGTGTTCATGGCCAGGCACATACAGGCACACGCACACATGTGCAGAAATGCACGTACGTATGCATATTCACACATGCATATACATAGACACAGACTCGGGCACACAGGCACACACATGTACAAATGCATCACATGTAGAGAGACACTCAGGCACATGTGCACACACAAAATGCACATATATGCATATGTATGCATGCACACACACACACACCCAGAGCTGCACATGCAGGCACACACACACATATGCTCAGAGCTGCACATGCAGGCACACACACACACACACACCCAGAGCTGCCCACGCAGGCACACACACACATATGCCCAGAGCTGCACATGCAGGCACACACACACACACGCCCAGAGCTGCCCACGCAGGCACACGCACACATATGCCCAGAGCTGCACATGCAGGCACGCACACACACATATACCCAGAGCTGCACACACAGGCACACACACACATATGCCCACATGTACACTTGTTTGCGTGCAGCACAGGCATGCACACCCAGGCGTATTTATGCATGCACACACACCTACATGTGCAGACCCTCCGACCTGAGAAGCCCAGGTCTTCCAGAGAGATGGCTGTGCAAGCTTCTCTCTCCCAGGACCAGGCAGAGGCAGCACAGAAGCCCTGATCCATCTGTTCCTAACCCAGCAAGTGGCGCACAATAGCCTCTCTATGTGGCCCTGAGTGGAGATGAGATTCAAAAAGAAAAAGAGCAGCTTTCAACTTCCTCGACATGAAAGGTCATCGCCCCCTCCCCACGTGGGGGAGTCAGACGACGAGGGAGCCTGGGAGCCCAAGCAGGCTCTCGACAGACAGCTGCCTCTCGCGTGTGATGGTGCCGCTGTCTTTCTCACCAGCAGCACGATGCTGCAGGCTCTAGGGGCTGCGGGTGGAGACAGATGGCCTGTGCCCTTTGCATCCTTCCTGCCAAGCCGGCTGCTGTACTCCAGATGCGGGCCTTGTTTGTCCTCCCTGCATATCTCTGAGGTCCCCACGAATTGCTGTGTGGCATGAATGTGAGATCCCTGCCACGCTATCCAAAAGGCAAGCCTCCACTTACAGGAGGGATGAAGGCCCTGGGGCGTGGTGGGTGTCCCATCCCCCTGGGAGTTGGGGGATGTAGAGTGCCCCTCTGCACCTGACCTGCCACCTGGTGGTCACTGTGGTGAGAAAGAGATCCTGGGACTGCAGGCCTGGGGTTTTGGGGTGAAGATGTCCTGTACAGAGGCACCAGCTGCCCACAGCCCTGCAGCCACCCTGGCCGAGAGCAGATGATCCAGCCAGTTCTCGGGAACGTTATCCTCTTTGTAAAAGTAACTGTGGAATTAGAGCTTGATGTGGGCTTTGGGGGTGCCCTGCAGTGTCTCAGTTCATTCCTACCCAGCAAAGTGGCTCACGAGAGAGCAGGGTCTGCACCGACAACGGGACCTCCGCGTTCACCTGCTCCCGAGACCACCAGGGAGCCATGCTGTGGCTGGGGCTGGGGCTGGGGCTGAAGGTGGGGCAGGAGCCCAAATGCACGGAAACCTGCGTCATTCGTCCAGCACTGGATCCCAGGATGTCTCTAGGCATTTTAAATGATCTTTGAAAACAGGGGAGAAAGAGACCAATCCCCTTGAACCTTGGGACGGTGGCTCCCTTAATCTTTCAGCGACTGCCACGTGAACAGAGCTTTCTGTGGCTCCAAAGAACACAGTCGTATATTCCTTTGGTTTTCTTGAGGTTCTTATGCCAGAAAGATGCAGGTGTTGCATGCCCTCTTGCCCTGTGAGGCTGTGCCCTCAGCCGCCAGCCCAGGACTGGGCGTCTGGCCGTTCTGTCCACGCTGCGGCCCTGCTGTCCGCTAGATGGCGCTGCGTCACGCCCGTGGCCGGCCCGTCTGGAACCCAGGAAGGCCTGGGGAGGAGTTCAAGGTGGGTCTCTGGAGGCCCAGGCGTCAGCACAATGATGGGGATGAGTCCCCTCCCTGGAGGGTGTGAGATTCCCTCATCGCTGGGCTCTGGCCACCCGGAGCACAGATTTTGTTCACTCACTGCTGGAGAAGCATAGCCTGCCTCAGAACCGCCCCCTCCCTTCTGTGGAGCTGGGAGGCACGGGTGCAGGCGTGTGTGTGTGTACGTGTGTGTGCTCATGCCTGTGCCTGTGTGTGCCTTGTGCATTCTGCGCATGTGCATGCATGCACACACCTGCACACACTCCTGTGAGTGTGTGCTCTTGTGTATATGTAGGGGTTGTGTGTGTGCAGCTGGGAGCAGGGAAGGGTAGGAGGCAGCTCCGTCTAGCCCATTGGAGGCCGGTCCTGTGTATGCGCTGGACTCCAAGATGACAAAGACCTGCCCAGGTCTCAGCCTCTGCTTGTAACTGCTCTGAGCCTCCTTTTACTCATCTGTGAAATTGAGATGCCCCAGTTACTTCCCAGGTGTGATGAGGCCCCACCGAGACCATAGGGGAGAGGACCCTCCCCACAGGCATGAGGCAAAGTGACGTCAGTCCACACCTGTGTTGTGGTCATACACCTCCGGCAGCGGCCACAGGAAGGACACTGAGGTCTGCCCTGGGCTGAGGCCCATGGCATCCTGTCCATCATGGGGGTGCCATGGAGTCCCCATCCCACAGGGGAGGAGTTACAGGCTGAGAGGCGAAGCCACAAGCCTGGCTCTGAGCCCAGGCTGCCATCCCGGGCCGTGGTGCCCACACTGCCACTCAGCCTCGGCTGGAGATGCAGTGCTGAGGTGGGCAGGTGGCTTCACCAGCCCCACGAGGCTCAGTGGGACCTGGTAGAGGGTGGCCCTGGCCTTGGAGGAGACTCGAGCCTGGCATCTGTGTGCTGGAAGCTGGGAATGCTGAGAAGCAGGAGGAAGTTGGGGGGCGCTTCCTGAGCCCCCACGGCATGGGGACAAAACCCAGGACCCTCGCCAGGCAGAGACCCCACCGGGCTCAGTCGCCAGACTTCTGGCTGTCAGCTGTCACAGAGGCCAAGTAGGGGCAACCCCAGAGGAGGAGAATGTGTCACTGGGAGTCTGGACAGCAATCAACAAGTCCTGGCCCAAACGTGGAGTGCCTAGTGCCGGGCCCTTTGGCAGGGCCTTCCTTGGGGACGGAGGTGACTGCTGGTGCCTGGATCCAGCAAGCTCCCCCATCACCCCGGGCCACTGGAGGCCCTGAGTCACTCCC